TCAACAAATACCTAATTGGACCGATGCACACACATAAACACACACTCTTGTGACTGAGGCTAGTAAGAGAAACAAAATAATTCTTTTAAAAAGCACCACTGCCAGGCATGCTGGTACACACTGGGGAGGCAAAAACATTACTGAGAGTTTAAGGCCAACCTAGGATGCCCTGTTAAGACTCTGTCTCAAGCCTGTTCTATCTACTTCAATAACTTCCATCAACCTAACCTAAGTTGTTTTTGTTTCTTTTAAACAGAAAAAAATAAAAATTTCAAAACAAGATAATAGGAGGGTAACAATGGTTAATACATTGATTTTTTTTATCTTTAGTTACTCAAGAATACAAGATATCAACACTTAATTCTCTAAACAATAATATACTCTGGTTTCTCTTCAGATTGTATACATTTTTCACCTTTTACTAAACAATATTAGCACAAACCTTTCTTTTCAATGAACTAGAGAAACTAATAGTATAACTATATTAACTATATATTATATTAATTCTTCCTGGTACTTACACTAAGGAGACAATATGATGTTTTCATGTGAATCTGATTTATTTCACTTATTAGTATGGTCTCTAGTTGTATCCATTTACCTACAAAAGCCGTGAGTTTATTCTTCTTTGTGGTTGAATAGCACTCCATTGCACAAAAAGACCACATCTTTTTTTTTTATGCATTCTTTGGTTGATGGACATTTGAGTTGTTTCTAAAATCTAGGTATTACAGATTATGCTGCTATAAACATGGTTGCACATATATTGCTGTGGTATAATGTTTTTAATGCTCCCGGGAAGATACCCCGTAGAGGAATGCTGGGTCAAATGGGACCACCAGTCTTAGTTTTTTGAGGAACTCCACACTGATTTCCACAAACTCACATCAATAGCAGAGGAAAATTCTTTTACCCCATAGCTACTCTGGCCTTTGTTATTGGTTGATTTCTTGACAGCTATTCTTTATGGGGTGAGACGGAATCTCAGTGTTATTTTAATCTTATCTCTTGAATGACCAGTGATGTTGAATATTTTTATTTTGATGTTTCTATTTCTTCATCTGAGAAGTGTGTAGTAATCACAGATGCCCATTTTTGCACTGGGTCTTTAAATTTGGGAGGTATGATTTTTTTAAACCTTTATATATCCTTTGAGAAAAAAACTATGAAACATTTTTTTCCAACATTGTTGATTATCTCTTCATTCTGTTGGTGGTTTCTCTTGCTGTGCAAAAACTTTTTTAATGAGGTCCCAAGTTGTTGATTCTTTGTGACAGTCCCTGTGCAATCAGGGTTTTATTCATAAAGTCTTTGCCTAGGCCAATATCTTCAAGAAGTTTACCTATTCTATCTTCTACATTTAATGTTTGTTTTAATATTTAGATTTTTTATTCATTCTGAACTTAGTTTAGTGTGTAGTGAAAGATATGGATCCAATTGCAATCTTTGGCTGGTATACTGCCAGGTTTTTCAGCACAATTTTGTTAAACAGATTGTCTTTCTTCCAATGAATATGTTTGGCACCTTTGTCAAAGATAAGGTGGCTGAGTATGTCCGGAGTTCTTTCTACATCTTTTAATGTTTTTCATCAATCTTCAGGTCTTTTTTTTTTTTTTTTAGGGAAAAAAATCATATCACCGTAGCTTTATGGTAAAATTTCAAGACAAGGATTGTGATGCCCTGTGTTGCCTTTGTTGTCTAGAATTGCCTTTGCTATTCTAGGTCCCTTCTGGTTTGAGATGAATTTTAGGAGTGTTTTCTCTAATTCTGTGAGATATGCTATTGGAATTTTGATTAAAGTTACATTAAATCTGCATAGCAGTTTTGGAAGTATAGCTATTTTCACTACATAGGTCTTCCTACCCAAAAGCAAAGGATGTATTCCCATTTTCTGATATCTTCAATCACCTTTTTCAGAGTAATGTAATTTTCAATGTAGAGGACTTTTATTTTCTTTATTAGACTGATTCCTAGGTATTTTTTTTTTTGGATGCTATTGTGAAAGGTATTGTTTCCCTAATTTCTCTTTCTCAATTTGTTATTCCTGTAAAGGAAAGCTAATGATTTCTGAGTGTTGACTTTGTATCCAGTTACACTACTGAATTTGCTTATTAAATTCAGCAGTTTTTTAGTGGAGTTTTTGGGGTCTTCTGCAAATAATAATAACCTAAGCTATCTTTTAAAGTACATTAGTAAATTTCGGTTTCGTTGAAATTCTGGAAAACTTTTTATATTCTAGGTCTTTGGGGAACATAAAAGAAAAAATTTAAAATCTTGGCTACAAATAATGTCCAGTCTTATGTGGAAAACCCAGCACAGATAATTATAATATAAAAATTTACAAAGCCCCAGGAGAAATGCTTATGGAAGGCATCAGAGCTGAGCAGACAATGCAAGGTACTGGGGACGGAGGCCTCCACTGAACCTCAAAGGCAAGGTTAGCAAAAGGGCTTTCAGGATGCAGAGAGAAGCAGACGTGAGAGCTCATCACAGTACTCCAGCATACCGGGAGGCTGAGACAGGAGGCTGGCAAGTTCCAGCATAGCCTAGCTGGATCTTATCTCAAAATAAAAACATAAAACAGTCAGAGGGGGCAGGAAATGAAGCTCAGCCTGAGGACTTTAATTCCTGGTACTGACATAAAAAAAAGGGGAATCACAAGTCCAGAAAAAATCAACATGGCGTGGAAATATAAAATGACGAAATGTTCAATACTGCTAAAACAAGAAATGAAGGAAAAAGGAACATAATTTCAGGTTGAGAAGAGGGATACAGGTAACATTTGAAAAGGAATGGCAGAAGATAAACACAAAGTACAAGCAGTAGCTAGATCAAAAACTTCCAGTAGCAAGAAGGAGGAACAGAAGACTTGGAGTAGAGTGTTTTTGCAGAAAAGCTGTGTCCCATCATGCAGGAGACTGTCTCTATAACAGTGACATGGTAGATGGAATGGAAGCAAAAGTGGGGGAATGAGGGTCACGAGGAAGGGGAAAACAGCATTTCAATCTAACTTCACTCTCCTTGTTTTAATAGGTACTTGACAAGTAATACAAGAAGCCCTACATTCATTTTTATAATATGACTGCATAAAAATTTTATTTACAAATCTAATAAATAACCAGTATCAGGACTGACAAGGCATTTCAAGGTTTAAAACACTAAATCAATGTAAGACCCATATTGGATATTATTATACAATACCATAATCATCTACTTTTTTTCCTCCTGTTTGAAGGGAAAACATTCTTTCTATTTATTTCTATTTCTATTTAGTTTCTATTTATTATTTTAATTTATTTGCAGTGTTTTCTGCCCAAAGTTCCAACACAGTACTTCAGAAATAAATCACTAGAAGGAATAAAGTGAAACCAATAAAAACATAAGAAAGAGCAAGATATGTTTATATGATATATAAAGCAAAGATAAAAGATAGTGAATAAAGAACTGAAATCATTATCTTGCCCATGACATATTATCCAAAGAAAGTAGCAAAGAAAAATCTATTGATGTCTGTCAGGTTCTTTACTTGAGGAATACCCAATTAGGTCAATCACAGTTGCATTTTCAAAACAAATATTGCCAAAAATTAGAATCCAAACCTACTAAAGAACTTGAGGACTCTGCTTGAAAAATACAAGAAAGTTTGATTAATATAAAATGAGTCTTAAATGTTAAAATACATTTAAATATGAATCATACTAGCGTCAAAGAATTTATGAGTTAATAAATTCTATTTTGAATCATTTTGCATCATTTAAAAATTGTATATTACATTCAACAAAAACAATGCTGTACAATTACTGGCTTCACTTGAAGAGATTTTTACAAACAGACCTTTTCCACCTGCTACTTTGATCAGATTGGTCTCATCTTAGAATAAGCTGGACTCAGCACAGCAGCCCTAACAGAAACTGTGCTAGGAGATAGCACTGCAGCAACATTAATGTTATTTTGCTTTTAAATATGTAGTACAGAAAGCGCTTTGAAACTACCATCATACGTAACCAAACCTAAAAATGGTTAAATATCATACTAACATTAACAGTTCCACAATCTGAAAAACAAGAACACTCTTACTCTGTCAGTAGATAAATTTCTTCTAATTCATGCTATAGTTTTAGTGAAGCAAGACGCTGATTTTCTAATCCATAGGTAACAGACAAAAAACAGGCATACACATTTGAAGAGTGATCTAAACCAGAAAAAACACAGAAAACTATTTCTTCTTAACCCCTTTTGCACTGTTGTTTTGAATGATAATGTGGGATGTGAAGGACAATAATGATAAACTGCACCATGAGTATTCACAGAAACATGTTTAAAGTGCTACATGCAATGAGAGACAAAGTAACATACAGGAGGACACACTGATTCTGCTTTAATGTTTAGTAAGCAGTCTTAGCCAATAGCAAGTCACTTGAAGAAGCAGTGATTTACAAAATGCTTAAATCCTTCTTAGCTCCTGGGACCAAAAAGGCAGTTCTACCTTGTCATCAGCCCTGGTTCTCTCTGTTTCCAAAGGAACAACTATTTCCCTCCAGGGAACTGTCACTGGACGTAATTCTCCTAAAGAACGCAGGGCCCCATGCTGCTCACCGTCACCACTTGCACAACTTGGGCTGCTCTATCTTCACACATTCATCTAAACTCTTCTGCTCCACTCACCACTTACCCTGTACTAATACTGATGTTTTAATATTGACAGAAAAATAAGGAGGAATTTACAAGTGGAAGACTTCAAGTTTAAGAGAATGGGGAGAAACTTACTGACAGGCCACAACTTGCAGTTAGTGCCTGAGAGCTGTTCTTACCCCACACGAAGTGTGCTGTGCGTGGACACAGCACACACAAAGCTTCCCTGCCACTGAGCACATTCGTCACCCTTGGCAGCCCCTCCCCAGCAGCCAGAGTGCCACACACCCCTCTGCTTGCTGAGGCAGAGCAGCCACAGGGGCACAGAGTTTACAGTACCAGCAAGATTCAGCTGGCTCATTACTTACCTTCTTGTGTACGCGGGCTTGCTGGTTTAACTTTTTGTTTCCTGTCTTGTCATAGCTCAGCGCCAAATGGTTATGATTCAGCAGAAGTCTGAACCTGACAGTGAAAAAGAATGGAGTTTTTTTTTTCTTCAGAAAACACTGGAAATTAAAAGTTCCTCTATTGCAGTCTGTCTTCTTGCCCTCTGCTTGTGTGCTGCCCCCGTCCTCTGCAGAGTAGCTACGCAGTGGTCTATAAATATTGACCCTCACACTTGCGAGTGCTTCACTTGCGCATGGCATAGGTCTGTGTTACTGAACACCGTGGTAATAGCCAGCAAAGTTCTCAGCTGCTCAGACAAAGCTGTGGATTGGCTCACTACACAGCAACCCTGTGCCTGCCTGGAAATACCATTTCACTGCCAGCTTTACAGATGCTATGGGTCTTTCTTGAGGCCCAAATCAGACACAGAAGGGCAATTATGAGGTTTTTCTGAAGAAATACAGCTTTCTTCAAGCAGGTGGAGCAAAGGGGGGTGGAGAAGAAGAAGACAAGAAACACTGCCTTTGTTCTGGCCAAACACCACAATCCCAAATCCTCTGTAAGTCATCCTAAAACATTACTCCATCAGTCTGCATAAAACTTAATTAATACATATCATGAATGCTCCAAACCAAAAAACATTTCTGTAACTGTTCTAATATTGTTCCTCATTAAAATAAGGTTTCAGTGACTAATTGGCTATAATACTATGTTCTGAAATAAGTTCATTTCTAAAATAATAGAAATGCATTGGAAAATATAATATTGGTCAGAAAATTATGTATGTGGTAAAAAAAAAAAGCTAAATTGTAATCTATCTGAAAATTACATGAATTGACAGCCAGCAAATGTACTTAACTTGTAATCATGATAATTTCAATTAATTTATTTTTTCTAAATTAGAGAGAAAAAAATCTAAGCCTAGACACTATAGTATTCAGGTAGTATATTAAGAACTCTACTACATACATCTGCTCCTATAATGTTCCCAACATGAATGATCAAGATAAGTCTGATCCATATTTTTTCCTTTTTGCTAAGGATTATCACTTGTTTGCCTTATTAAAATCTTGTCTTGATTAAATCAAAGGTGAGGGAATCTTTAGAAATAATCTGGCCACTTATTTTACAGATGTAGAGTGGAGCTCCACTTTTCAGAGTGTCCTTGGCAACTTCCTTAGATCCAAAACTAAAGTTCCTGCCTTCCTGTTTCACCTCTGTGCTCCTCCTATGAGGACAGAGATTCTCAGTCACTTTTAGGTTCATCTGCATTGAAACTCTCAGCAATAAATAAATGTACACACTACAGCCAGAAAGTTGACTAGTGTAAAACAAAAGAGCTTCTTTTAGTATAACGGACAAAAAATATGTATAACATTAAATTTCCAAGCCATTGAAATCTACCTTTCTTGCTTAACAATACTTATCCAATAAATCAACTCATTGCCAGGACAGGTATTTAGCTAGATGCTGAGGAGGCAAGAATAAACCCAGTGTCATTCCCAAAGCCTCTGGAGGGCCCTCTCCTGGCAGGGGAGGCAGGGTCACTGCAGAACTAGTAAATACACCAGTGAAGACCATGGCTGACCCCAGTGCCAAGTAGAGGCACTGCCCACAGGTGTCCCCTCCACCAGGCAGTATGGACGTAGGCCACTGCAAATGCGCTTCTCTGGAACACAGGGCATGGCACAGTGATTTTAAAAGAGGTAAGGTGATCAGAGGAGGAGGAAGGTAATGGAGGATTTTATAAGCCAGTTAACAAACTTGAGTTTTACAGAGTAGGTTAGGCTACTGGTCTTCAATTTTTTTTTTCATAGACTCTTAAAATATTTTTGTGAAATTATGTAATTCTGACACATTACCAACCTAACAGCTATAATTTTTCACCTATGGTAAAGTATGCGTTTTCAAGAAATTTAGTTTATCCTTAATTGGAAAATCTGACATTAAAATAAAGCATATCAACTATTTTAAATATGCTCAATAGAATTTAAAACCATAATTTCATCATTATCCATTTCTAAAAATATACAAATAGTGTGTCTTTTACTAGCTAAAAGTCTCTTTTTACATTACCAAAAGAAAAAAAAAAAAAAAAAAACAGTAAAAAACAAAACAAAACAAAAAAACACAGTAAAAAGGGGTTGGGGATTTAGCTCAGTGGCATAAGCGCCTGCCTGGCAAATGTGAGGTTGTGAGTTCAATCCCTGGTACTGAAAAAAAAAGTTCATTTCTTGACATTTATTTCCATCTTACTCCCTCATAGAATTTTCTGCAATATGCTGTATAAATAACTCTTTAATTGTTCTCCCTGTCATACTCTTCTGGAACAAAAATTTAACACATCAGTTGAAAATTTTAAGTTATTAAATTTTCTATGACTCTAAGTCAACACAATATAGTAACATTTGGGATAGTGGAGGGTAGGCTTTTCTTCCTCAGAAAGAGAAAGACTGTCATTAATAAACCATTGCTCTTAGTTGGATCAATAGTAATAAAGAGTATATGGAAAAGTTGAGAGGATGGAACGGATCTCATTAAAGCTACCCATTCAACTGCGAAATGCAAAAAGCCAGTCTGGAAAGGTGACACACCACGTAGTCCAGCTGTGTAACACCTGGGAAAGGCAGACAGTGGAGATGGAGGTGGCTTCCTGGTTTCCAGGGTCTCCTGGGGTGAGGATCTGGCAGGCTCAGTGCAGGGGTTTTCAGGGCTGGGCAACCACTCTGCACACAGCTGTGACAGTGTGTGCATGAATGGCGCTTCTGAGAAAACTTACAGAACAGGACAGCACGAGACCAACCCTAAGGCACCCAGTGAACTATAGTTAAGTCTCTTCCCTTGTTTGAAGCAGGTCAAGTAGTTCATTGGAAGCATTGCCATTTGTCATGTGATTACCATCTAGCATTGGCTTTACAAAAATATTTCCAACCTAGGGGGCTGGAGGTTTAGCTCAGCGGCATAAGCACCTGCCTTGGAAGCAGGCAGTCGTGAGTTCGATCCCTGGTACCGATAAAAACGAAAAAGCCAAAAAAAAAAAAAAAAAAAAAAATATTTCCAACCTAAAAACACCCTGATGGATGGTTATGCTTTTGCCTTAAGGATGAAAAACACTGAGACTCAACATTAAATGATTTTTCTGAAGTCATAAAACTAGTAAGTTAATCAATTTTGACCCAAATCTGACCAGACTACAGTGCCTCACGCTGTCCATCAGTCACTTATAGAAGAGGAACAGGTAGGCAAGGAAAGGAATGAAGCAGACTCCTCCCGAATCACAATAGACCGATATGGCTGTATCCAGCATTTCTCTAGAGGAAGTGACAGACCTTTAATATTTATTGTTTAAAGCTAGCAGAAAAATAGGACTAACAAAATTTAATTAATGGATGAAAGTAAAGTAACATACGCCATTATGGCTTGTGTCTCCATGTCTTTCTTCCCAAAACCTCATGCATTTTTAGACAGGGTTTTGACAGAGGCAACTGAATCTACAGTTTGTGACTGTCCCATCATGTAATGCTGGGATTAAGGGTGGGTGATTGGATTGGCAAGAGGTATAAAGAGGTTTGTCCCTCGCCCTTTTTTAATCTTATTTCTTTTGATGTCTTCTGCCATAAAGAATTGGCTGCTGCCTCTCTGCCATGTGCCACCCTCCCTTACAGCCAACAAATTATGGACTGAAACCTCTCAAACTGTGAGCAAAAAAAACCTTTCCCACTTTAATTTTTGGTGTCTAGGATATTTGTCTCAGCAATGAGAAAAGTAACTAAGAAATGTCCTGTTAATAATTTAAGTGTGTTTATCCTCAATTTAACTGAAGCACAAGAAACATAGAGATACAAGGATGTCTCTCCTTTTTAGGCAGCTGGGACTTTGCCAGTGCAATGGTTAGAGGAACAGCTTTAGAGCAGGGAAATGGGAAGAGAAGACAAGCTCAGTTTTGTAAGTGATGAATTTGAGATATCTGTGTTGGGTACAAGTGATATGCTAATCAGAATTTGAATGTGCCAGTCTATGACACAGGACAGTCATGGCAAAACTTTTAGAGCTTTCAGTGATAACAAATAGCCCCCGGTAACCACAGGTTCACCACTACTGACACAGGAGAATGAAGACTGCAACTGCACATTAGTCTTCCATGCTTCTTTTTCTGCTTCAACAGCCATCCTTGTATATTCTATCCTCAACACAGAGGTGTTACTTAAAAACACCAGCCAGACATGCTCATCTTTGAGTCAAAATCCTGCAAGCCTTCCTCAGCTGACTCAGAATCAAAGATCTCACAAGGGTCTACAAAATCCCATTGGGCCTGATCCTTTATTTTCACACAGCACCAAAGACAGTCACTCTGGACCTCTTGACTCTCTTCTTCCACCTTGCCCAGTGCCCTTCCATTTGCTGGTCCTGCTCCAGTCCATGTTTCCTGCAGACAAGACAGTTGCACCACCAAGTCTTCAGCTCCTTCAAGTTTCAGTTTGCAATGCAGTGTCTCAGCAAAGTGATCACTGCCACGTTACTGAAAATGGCAATCTTTCTTCTTTATTACTAGATTAGTGATGGCAGACTCTCTTCAATAGAAAACAGGTTCAATAATAGCACAAATTTCAAGTACCAGACTTAGCACTGAACATACTACATAGACAGTAAATAAATACCTGTTGGTATAAATGAATGAAATAGACAGTGGAAAGTCACACACAAACACAGGTGGTTGAAACTGTGACATCTCCCAGTAGCAGTGTGTACAATAAGAAGTAACCCAAAATCAACACTGTAAAGTTAGGTGAAGGAGGGAAAGCTCCCTAAGATTGCATAACAACTATGGAGTGATTAGGAGGAGAATAAGAAAGCATTCCGGAGGTTGGAGTGTTAAGGGAGGACTGGTTAACAACGTCAAATGCCAGGTGAAGAGCAGGGACTGAAGACTGAATGTGACAGACTAAAAAGGGGCCATCACATACAGCATTCAGACAGTGCTGGGATATTAAATCTATAGCAATGTTCAATCTAAAAGCATGAGTTTTATGGCACAGGAATTATGTTTTTAGCAAAGCAGTTATAAAGCAAGCAAG